TATATTTCTAAATTTTAAATATCAACAAACTTTTCCTTTTAAGTTACCTAGAAGTATAATTTAACGAATCAACTTATATGTAGGTATTAAACTGTCATGAGTTATTAAGTTAGTAATTGCCAGATCTTTTAAAAGATAAGCTTACAGCACAAAGGCCTCGTGTCTACCGAGATCTCAAAGATGTTTAAATAAATAACAACTTGACTTTATCCATTGATATTGGTTTAAAAATAATTGAAAGTTTCATACAGTAACTAAATCATTGACTTTTATCCTTTTTTATGTATGGTAAAACAAACATTTATTTTATTATTTACAAAAACAACACGTTAGTTTATTTGTAAAACAATTGCAATCATATATCAAAGTGGTCTGTTAACCATCATATTGTACCCTACCCGTCTGTTGAAAATGGAAATATTAGTGCTGGTTATTATCATCCTAAAAACAAGCGAAAAAAAAGAAGAAAACTATTAGAAAATTTAAGATGAAAATTGATTTTTATCAAAAATATTACTGGAGCGATATAATAGGAAACGTTAGCCAGCTGCGAGCTTTCCAGTTCAGGTCGTTAAAGTATATCAACGGACATAAATGGTGTAAAGGTAACGAGCATAACGGTAATGGAGAATAATTTTGATAATAAAACATTAACTAATAATCCCGTGACAGCTGATCCGTCCAAGATTAAGTTTGTCTTAAGTGTCAGCGCTTTAAATTACTCTCACGTCAGAGAAATATATCTATATTATTTCCTTGATAATCACTGACTTGCATAAAAAGTACAGAAAAACTTTATAAATATAGCGTTAAGGAACTGTTGTTGTAAAATAAAATAGTATTGACCTTAGCGTCTACAGAAGACGATTTTGGTGCATATCTGCACTGTGTCTTTTGGTGACTAAACAGGCCTAGGTCGACCAAGACGAACTACTACAAACCCACCGTTCCATATATGCCTACTAACATATCCCCACTGGTAGGGATGCAATACTAACATGAGAATCTCGAGCTGCTGAAAGTTTGACCGCGCTTTCTAAACTAAGACATCTGCGTTATCTAGGGCAATAAGCACAAGATGGAACTCTCCCAGTCACCGCGACTTGTTGTTTTAAGTGCAGTAGGGATGCAAAAGGAAATGTTAAGGCCATTGGTTTGCTTTAAAGACTGCATCAAAAGGGACAGGACGCTTTTAAAAATGATCACCAAGAAAGAATCACTCGCTGACAGGTATCTTGACAGATGATCACGGGTTTACGATGCAACTTGGTATGCATCACTCTCTTACAGAAATCCGGAGGACATAAAGACGACATAAAAGTGGTTTAACGTCGAATATTTCCCTATAGACACGGTACTCAAAGTCTAAGTCAAAATTTCTTTATTCAAATTGGGGGATAATAGGTACAATTCTTTTGAATCGACGAATTTTTTGCCTGCCACCCGATATGGAAATTATTTAGCTATGTGTTATAAAAATATTATATTGTTACAGTGTCAATACAAAATCAATACTCTACTCTAAATCTATCTATACACTAAATGGAATTTGATGCACATTTTCTAACAAACAAACTCACCATTTGATTTGTTCAAGCTTGTTTATAAGCAACATACTAGTGTCAATAAGAACAAATGTAGGTATCTATGTAATTTATGACCTTCTATTTTTAGAGTCGGTTAAAACGAACATTTAATTTAACATGAGACTACTTTTTTGTTACAATGTGGTTAGGACGACCGAAAGGGTTTCAACCACCTCTTATCAATCGCCCACATTCAAGAGGGCAATCAATTTTAAGTCCTCTTAAAGCTCCTGATGAAAGCTCTTGTCCTGGCGACCCTTGCCCTGATTAGTACCGACAGCCATTTGGTCTTACAATGAAATGAGAACTTGTTTCTTATATAGGTATTTTCGCACACACTACTTTCTTATTTTATAAAAAAAATCCTTTCATTTTCATGGACATAATACACTGGCCTGCAAAACTAAGTATCACGCTTTTAAAAATGCAATAACTTTTTAAGGACACAAGATATAATTTAGAGATAAAAATTATTTGAATATTATTTGGCCTGCTTTGCACACGGCTTATCCTGCGTAAACTATTTATATTTTTATTTTTGAAATCGCAAAAAAACTACCAAATCTTGTCTTATTTTTAGTCAAATATGCTATCGTTTAGATACCTAGAATGTATTTTATACAGGTAGATACTTAAGCACTGAATAGCTGAAAAATACACGGAACAATATTCAATGACGACAGGCTAATAAAGTGAATGATTAGGTAAATAAATTTTACTATACCAACATAATTTTTCTTTCGTTTTACGTAAGAAAATGTCGTTAAAGGTCCCATTAGCACGACTCACAACATTTCAAAATCCTATTATTAACTTTCCTTTCAAACTTCTGTGAATATTACCAATAAAAAAGGCGAACCCGACGATTTCATTATCTGATTTGAATACCGTTGCGAGTCGATTTTATTGTAGGTATTGACATTTTTCAACTTCATAAATCGTGTAGATATAATAAAAATATAGTATTTAACATTAGGTTAATAAAGGTTGTTTTTAAAAGATATTTTATAAAGTATAATTTAAAATAAACTTTATAAAATATCAGTTATTTTAGTGTAGTCCTTGTAAGCTTTTATAAGAGAAACGATTTGAAGAACGCTTACAAATTAGTATCCTTAGGCATTTGGTTTCGGGGTGCCACCGGCACATTTGAAGTTAATAGGTATAAGCTTTAGTTGCAATAAGTGTTGGCCATCATAAATAAAATTACTGTTTCATTGTGTTGTGTCTCAGTTGGTGAGTAAGGTTCCAGAGCTCCACGCACAGGGTAAAGGGCTGTAATTTTTTTCTCATTTTATGTCTGTATTTTGTCGGAAAAGTGACGATGGCTTAAGCGGCACTCTTTTCTGTCGCGTCAAGTATTTTCGTGGCTGGAAATACCTTAAACATCGGATTGGGTATGATAATTTACTGCGCCTTGTTTATAAAATTCGTTGCTTACCCGTAGGACAGCCGCGTGACACTAGGATATTCCCTTCAGCACTTCCAGTTGTGCCATAGGGACATAAATAATCTCAATGAAACAACCAAGCGCCGTCAGAAGTGCCTTGGGGAACAGCTATTACCTGCAGCAATACCAGTTGTACCATAGGGACATTTACAATCCCAGTGAAACAAAAAACTTGATAACAAACAATCACCAATGAGGTTTGTTATCATGTTGGTTAAGGTTAAGGTTGGTTAAGCTCAACAATAAAAGAAATACCTAGACCTCAGCAACTGCATGCACTACACTTTATTTATGATAGATTATTTCCCTGATTCGTGACATTAGTCAGTATTTATTTTGAAGAAAATTATTACTTCAAAATTAAAAATTGAATAAATGTTACGCTCAAATTGACAGATTATTGGTATAATATGCACACTATTCTGTATCTAATTATCTTACCTTAATCTATTGCGCTGGAGATTTTCCTACGATCGTTTTTTTAGCTAATCGGATCGGCCGCCCTAGACGTTCGGCCCTATTAAAAAGTGATAAGGTATCACCATACCACCACCACCTTGGTACCCCTTATGTTATTCTGCCGCGCTCAAATAAGTCGCAAAATCCCCGATTGGACTACTACTATGAAATTTGTTATCAAGTTGGTGGTTTCACTGGCATTATAAATGTCCTTATGGCACAACTCGTAGTGCTGAAGGTAATAGCTATTCCCCAAGGTACTATTAGTAGTATATCACGCGGTTGTGCTACGGATAAGAAACAATAAAATTTAAAAAAAACGGGAGTGTTATGGAACACTCGGCTGGAACAAAGTAAAGAAGCTGAAGTCAGGTTAATAATGACATTTTAATAAATAATAGATAGTATTAAGACATGCAAACATCTGGCGGGTCCGCTAATAATAAATAATAATAATAAATAAATATTTCCGATACTCACACCAATTAGCCTAGCCCCAAAGTAAGCACTATAAGGCTTGTGTTATGGGATGCTAGGGTAACGGATAGAATACATATACTGTACATATATAAGTATATTTATATAAATACATATTAAACATCCATGACTGGAGTACAAATACTCGTATTCATCACACAAACATCTGCCCCCACCGGGATTCGAACCCGGGACCTCTCGAGTCGGCGACAGCCATGAAACCCGGCGTACAAACCACTCGGCCACGGAGGTCGTCGTAGTAGGTACCTACCTATTCATTCGTTAAAATAAAGTTTAATAAAAACCTATTTTATTGTTAAGCACAATACAAGTAATTCTTTTCCTTGTCTATATTGTAAAAACTAGTTCAATTACGGTGTTGGTAACAAATTTTCCATTCATTACCGTTTACTAAAAAAATTCAGCAGCGTACCAATAATAAAACGGTTTCCTTTTTAGCATAATTACAGATGTTTTGCATAGATAAGGTTTATACTCTTGGCGTAGGTATAACTTTATGTGCGTGAAGTGAATCAAGGTTAATATTAAACGCTCCATCCCATTTGGCTTTAATTAATATTTAGTGCTTACAGACGCAATCTTAAAGCTTTACAATAGATATACCGAAAAAAAGATAATGACTTTCTAAAGGAAAAGAATGATGTTTGCCCAAAGAGTGCACTCGTGTCTTATGCCTCATTAGAAGTTGAATAATTCTATTTTGAGCCATAAGTAAAGCCTACAGAACACACAATTGTAAAACACCACACGTTTCACTGTCTGAATATTGTTCGAAAAACAAAGCAGTACATCAGCAAGTCGGAACTTTGTTATTGAATTCATGGCGTACATCATTTAATTTCTTAAGGGCATTCATTGATATCGACCCGTCAACTTTGTTGCAGTCGAGATAACTGGGTACAAAGTAAATAAATGTTACCGATGTATTAGGACGTCTATAGCATAGAATTGTAGTGGTCGTGCACGAAAACTATTATACATTAATGGAATGCAAGAAGCGTACAGACCTGTGTAGTGCGCCATCCTGGCTGTTGTGCGGTGTCGTTGAATAATGAAGGGGTCGAGCAAGGTTGTGCTTTGTGAGCACGGCGAGTGTTGCAGTGGTTGCTGCGTTCTGTCCGAGTGTGGTTGGAGGTTAGACGCGCTTAAACGCGACGGGCGAAGGCGTGCGTTCGGGTGAACGTTCGCTGCGAAGTGATCGCGTGGTGGTCTGACGGTCTCAGTACACGCACCCCGCCGCCGCCGCCGCCGCCTCCGCCGCGCCGGTGCAGGGCGGGCGGGTGCCACAAGTAAAACCGTAGTAACCACGAACATCACAGATGCGACGACTATTAAAACATCTTATATTTATTCATGCACTTGATGTAATTTCTCACAAATCATAATCATTATACTATTTGGATATTATAAGGAATGGTTTTAGATATAAGATGATTAAAAAAATTTCGATGTAGTGTCAATGATAATAAATAAATTAATAATAATAATAAATAAATATTTTCAAAACTCACACCAATTAGCCTAGCCCCAAAGTAAGCACTGTAAGGCTTGTGTTATGGGATACTAGGGTAACGGATATAATACAAATACTATACATATATAAGTATATTTATATAGAAATACATATTAAACTGCCATGACTTTAGTACAAATGCTCGTATTCATCACACAAACATCTGCCCCCATCGGGATTCCAACCAGGGATCTCACGAGGCGGCAACACCATGAACAAATGCGTACAAACCACTTGGCCATGGGGTCATCTAATATAATCAAAAGTCGTATAATAAAAAGTTTAAGGAGCAGTTTCTTATTTTTAAGATGTTTTAACAATTTCAATACTTAATTGTCAGTAAATCAAATTCAAACAGTGGTAATAAATCAATCGACGCTTAAAGTTAAACATTCCCTCCGACAAACGATCCATTGATGTTAAAGAGTAAAATAAATTAGATTACGTCCTTATGCAAAAAATAAATAATAATGAATGTAAAAAGGTTCGTGGTAAAAACAATGTGTAAATGGGTCTGTTATGTGTTATACTAAATGTAGTCTGATATCAAAGTACCGAATATAAATTACTCATTTAAATTTATATTCGGTTCACGTTACAGTAGTTAACAGCTCTATTTTGCTTTTATGAAGACAGTACCTATAACTTATATAGTATATATACTATATATACTGATTTGTAGTTTTTACGTTGTGCAATCACGGCCGAGGTCACCGCGCAGGCCTGGAACTACAACCAACTGCTAGTTCACAAGTCCTGCAGAATGCATAGGCATCTACAGTTGCATTATTACGTAACTAGGTAAAACGAATAGCGTTGTCTGCTGTCGGAAAATGCGCATTGAATTACAGTTCCACAAATAGAAAATTAAATCAGTTTCTGAATAAGTTAGCTGCCTACTTTTTTGTAATATATATATATAAAATAAAGTCTAGAAGTGCTACTATATTGCAGCATTTTAAGAAACCACAAATAAAATAAGAGTTATTTCTACATAATAACACGTTTTAGCGTAGTTTGTTAATATTTTTTTGCTCATACTAAAATCATTATTGAGATAGAGAAACACAGAGTAAATAATATAGGGCCGGCAGCGACCTTGAACATTTCATTCAGTTTAACAAGCGACTGTATTGCGCTCTGTTAAATTTCAATAAATCTGAAGTTACATTGCTTTTACTGACAAAGCAGCTCTGCTTATGCTTGAGGTGAAACATATGAAATTAGGTTCACTTTGTCCCCTGTAGATGGCGCTATGGAAGCGAGATCCTTCTTCCTAGCTTGAAAGACACGTTTTCTCATAGCTACAACTCAATGCGGTGTAGCAAAGAGGGCGCCACTCTACCGACTACGCCTTGCTACGAATTTCCGTAGATAGTCGTAGAGGGCGTTACGGAGCTACGAGAAATAGAACGACGGAAAAGTGCTCATCATTAGCATTACATTTGACTAGCAACCCTCCCCTATATTCTAATTACTTTTTTTCTTAATTCTTCATACAAATCTTGCGTCTGAAACATAGAGAAACAAGGCCGGCGCCTCCTGGCCGCGTCAGCCATGTTGCTTTATGCTTCGAAATTACAAAGAGATCCAAAAATAAAAGCAAAAGCTGTTCCCAACTGATACCCCATCACGAATGTAGCAATTGACTTTTATATTCTATCTATCCTAATTTATTATTATAAACAGAATCAGATTGAAAAAAGTCTGTATATATTACTTTTGGGTTACAAAATGATGTAATTATCTCTGGCTTTGTTTAGTGATAGTCTTATTTTAAAAACCATCACAATCCGAATTGCCTCAAAGCACAAGCTAAAATAAATTATAATTTTTCAAATCACTTTTGTGTGTATTGTAAAAAAACATTTGTGTTTAATTAGTTTTGTAAAACAAATCAAAGTGCTTACTTCGGCACTGCCTTCTCGTGCTTGTTATATTTAATTAGTGATGTTACGTTAGTTTTAATTTTAGGAGAGAGAGAGAGAATTAAAGTTATGAATTACAAACGTTTTTATCTATTGATCTCAAAACTAAAACCCTAAAAATATTCAGTTACGCATTATTGAAACATCCAAGGAAATTTTTATAATTCCCCTCACGTAGTTACGTAAAACCCGCGCCACATGCGTTCAATACAATAAAAATAATATTTATTAATATATATTAAATGTGCTAAACTACAAAGGTACAAAACAGATAGGTAGGTACCTATCATACCAATTGACGACGACCTCCGTGACTGAGTGGTACTGAAGTGGTATATACGCCGGGTTTCGTGTCGCCTTCTCGAGAGGTCCCGGGTACGAATCTCGGTGGGGGCAAATATTAGTATGACGAATACGAACATTTGTACCTTAGTCATGTATGTTTATAAATATTTCTGTATACTTATATATGTATCAAATATATATATTCTATCCATTACCCTAGCATCCTATAACGAAAACCTTATAAAGCTTACTTTGGGGCTAGGTTACTGATGTGCGTTAAAAAAATATTACATAAATTGCAATAGTCGTCTAGGAGGGTTGTTATGTTAACAATGAATATTAAAACGAAAGCAGTAACACCATTTAATTAGTAAGTCAAAAATATTTTAGGTATAAATATTTATAAAAATCTCGCAATTTAATGCTTAAATAAATGCTATGTGGGTATAATAAAGCCTGACATAAGAAATGATAGCTGCACCGAACGGATAGAAAATAAACCTCGGGTTCAGTGATGTACTCTATAATATTTTTTTAATAAATGTCGTAGAAAAACAATTGTATTTAAAAGTAAAACAAAATGTAAAATGTATATAAGTACAATTCGTAACAATAAAAAATTGAGGACATCAATCAAGCACGTGGCCCACTAGATGGTAGGTAGTAAGTTCGTCATAACTTATAACAGTTTGCGATAATAAGAAGCATCGACAACAATAGCGATAACCCAAAATTGAAATAATACATTTAGAACATCGATATTTTTCAATCGATACCTACACCACGCTATATAGACAATCAAAAACATACCGGCCGAATCAAGAACCTCCTCCTTTTTGAATTAGGTTAAAAATAATTCGTAACAATAAAAAATTGAGGACATCAAACAAGCACGTGGCTCACTAGATGGTAGGTAGTAAGTTCGTCATAACTTATAACAGTTTGCGATATCAAATTATCATTTGCGCGTTGCATACCTTAACCACATCTTCTACCCCGTAAAACCATGGAAACCTCACTAGCCGACAGAAACACAACACCTACAAAACGTTGCGATTTTTCTGTGTTCTTCTGAAGGTTATTTCCCCAAAGGGCCGCTAAAAATCGAGGGAAAAATCAACTATTTACGCCCTAAAAGCGGTTTCAGACTAGCGTTTTATACGCGTGTATAAGCTCGTTTTCGAAAGCACATGTAGGAGCGTATAGGCGCATGTTTAGCCACGCGCGCAACTCGCACGAGCGTTGACGCGCTTGTAAGCTCGTATAAGCGCGAACCGTGAGAAACACCACTGCCGATGCTGGTTCGAGCGAACACGTCGAAATATGCCTATTTACGTGATTCTGGCTTTTTGAAGCGCGTAATGTAGCAGCGCTCGTGTAAGCGCGTATGCCGAAACGACCGTTTACGCACAAAAAATACGCTTTTCTGGAACCGCCATAACTCTCTTGTATTTCGGTGGAAATCCATAGAATATTTACTACTAGTGAACGGAATTTTGAATTTTGAATGCCTCAAGTTTATTGGGAGGTGTATAGCGAAGGACCAAGAAACGGTAGCATTCGATGGCATCTTTATTAACAAAGTTAGCGTCCCTGCTCTGACAACTGCTAGAATGTTTATCAACTTCGGAAGTTACGTCTGAGGAGGAAGAAACACAAATGGTGTTTCTTAAATTTAGCTCCATGCGATGAAACTTGCTTCTTAGACGTAAATTTTTCCCAGCAGGTGGTATGGTTTAACTACTTAAAAATAGTTTTTTTTTGTATTTTGAAAAGTAGGTGTTTCAGTATGCATAAACACGTATGGATTGAAGGAGTGTATTGAAAAACTAAAGTTTTCATTGTCTTTTAATTATTTCTTTATTTTTTAGCACACACGTCCCGTACTTACATTAAGTATGTTTGTATCTGTATGTGGGAACCTATAGTATGGCAATGAACAAATTAAGAGTTCCTTTTTCTTCATTATAAAGTTTTGAAACAAAGATACAGGAATATTCCATCATTATCTATACTTATAATAAATCTGTAGAGAGGTCAATTCTGTACATGAAATATATTTTCAAAATAACTATCAGGGGGTGATTAGTGATCGATACTGATGCCAAAAATGCAATCAATAAAATTTTTGTCTGTCTGTCTGTCTGTGTGTATGTTCCTTATAGAAACAAAAACTACTCGACGGATTTTAACGAAACTTGGTACAATTATTCTTCATACTCCTGGGCAGGTTATAGTATACTTTTCATCACGCTACAATCAATAGCAGCAGAGTAGTGAAGGGAAATGTTGGGAAAACGGGAGAAGTTACTCCATTTTTTAAGCTTCCGTCGCGTGTGCAGCCTTAATGGTTAAAGTTACATAGAAATCATGTATGACGGAAATATTCCACATAAAATTGTCTAAAAAATATCCCGCAACAGCATATGTCTATCTTTTATGGTTGACTCACAA